TTTGTTATATTCCATGGAATGCTCTTAACATCCCGATAGCAATGAATATATTAAATGCTTTGACAATAAATACATAAAAAATGTCATCTGTGGAAGCCGTAGTACTGTAAAAAGCACGACCAATCATTTTAGCCGGCCCGGCTAAAATAACTGGATGGCCTACCTGCCTGTCAGCCTTCCATCTGTGCACAAACTTATCTTGTGCCCTCATTGGTCATGTGCGCGTTCGTGTGTGTTGGAGGAGGGGCTCTATAAGGAAGTCTGAAGGAAGAGGCAGATTTTTTCCGGTTGTGTACTTTCAAATTCTAGCGCACTCGAGCTGGTTTCTCCAAAATTACATACCCCACCTTTAACTGTTAGCTTAAATCAACTATAATTGTATATTCATATTAAATATAGGGACTGCATGTATTCACAAGTTACTTGCAGGGATGAACCAATAGAGAGTAATTAACCGACTAAAGCTTAGTGTCATTAGGTCGTTGTTTTGGTTTCATGGCCGGAAACGTTACCGTTTTGGTTCACTCTTACATCAGAAAAGCTCTGATAAATGTACCGTATGACCTGCTCAGCAGACAGAAACAAACAGTGGAGCATTCATCAGCTAACGAGCCAGATATTTAGAGCAGGAGTTGGTGGAGACCAAAATAGACATAAAAGAAGCATGAATGACTGACAACAATATAATGCCAAATAAATGCGGTTTCTCCATGTCTGCTTTATGTGTAGTGATCAAGTTCACCACATCAATTTTGTTAGTCGATAATACGTCAGTCTTTTGCTTACAGCTTGTTGCACTTCCCCTAAGGTGCAAAGAAAACAGTTAATACAGGTTTGAGTTCTTGCTCAACGTGTGTCTGATTATTTATTGTAATTCTGATGTGTGCTTCGCTGTGATATACAGTATATCGATACTGCAAAAACTCGTATTAATATTGCGCTATTGATTTCAGCCGACCAGCTCTCATTACAAACACTCACTTGTTATTGCAGGCACCAATATACGAGTGTCGGCTGTGGCCTCCCTGCGACACGTTCAAGTGAAACATTCAACAGACGTGAGGTGATTCAAAGTGTTTGATCTGTCGGCCATTGACAGGGCTGCTTCTTTGAAGGTGGCTCGCTGTGTCAAGGCCCTCAGAAGAGGAGCGCTCTGACATATTGGTAGTGAGGTGGCCTGTTGACCTTCGACAGAACAATGCTCATGTTTGGGAGGTAGAAACAGAAAGACACAGAGAGTTACTGCTTCTCCTGCAAAATAAAAGGAACATACTGAGAAATAAACTGTACGCAACACAGGCAACAGCATGAACTTAAGGAGAGATAGTCCACCAGTTTACAAGAGGATGTGACTAACGTTTTATATTATATTAAGAATGAACAACTGGTTTTGGAATGACAAAACAGTACATTTACTTACCTTTGACTGAGAAACTACTTTGTTTGACATTTTATAGACGGAACCATGAATTTATTATTTGTGGGTGTAATTGGCAGATCAATTGATAATGAAAATAATTATTATTGGCATCTTTATTGTTTTTTCTTCGACAAGAACACTGTCCTTCGATCTTAGACGTGTAGCTTTTCCCAACATAGGAGAGGTCAAATTCAGATGTCAAACCGAGTCAGGTGAAATGTACTGGACATGAAAGAGTGTCTGCTCAGACTTGAACTATACTGTTCATAGATTTTTAGAACATTTTATAAACGCTGGCTTTCAATTTGGAAAAAAAGTGTATACCTCATAACCCTGTGATTTATTCTGTGTATTTCTGTGTACCTGTCTCTTTGTTGGATTTGTTTTCTCTGCACTATACCACGTATTGCTACAAGCTCAACAGTATTACCTTGAGTTGCGTGTGAGGCAGGTTACTCAGCCTGTCCGCAGCCAGCCGATGCTCTGAAATTGTATACCTGTGCTGAAAAGAGGAGTCGCCATTTCAGCGCTGTCTGTTTGGATCAGTGTTCCCTGTGGCGCTATGCCCTCTTTGAGAGCTCCTCTGTTGGGGATCTATTCCTTGGCCCCTGACTCTTTCCCTCTGTTGACACAATGGGCCCTTTGTACCTATGTATACTACTGCTGTGGGATCTTGCTTCGTATTTTCGGCAATTATACACGATCCCACTCCAGCCATGCCTGTTGTTGGTGCTTCGCTGGAGAGAAATGCAATCGAATCGAGGAGAAACGCAGAGAAACGGTGATCCGGGGAAGAGGCTTGCAGGAATTAGATTGTGTTGCTGATAAGTTCCATATAGAGCGAGTAAACATGTTCTTATCTTGTTATCCAGCTTGCACATTAACACATGGTGTGTGGAGGAGGTGGAGGAGGGCTTAAAAGGATGAATCAAATCCTAATCATTCTGTTTGGCTTTTCCCTCTCTCTGCTCTTTGTCTCTATTTCTGTTTCTCGTCGTGCAAAGAACTCCGGCGCACACTCCAGAACAATGGCTGGGTCAGAAGTGCTAGCTATTCTCCTACACCTGCTGAATGCTCCAGAAATGAGTGCACAGTGATTACCTGCCTTAATGTGTGGTGTTTAAAGAGCGGTTTCTTGCTGCAGAGTTAAATGATGGTGCCCTCTGTGAAGTATTAATGATGTGGATGGATGAATCAGGTCGGCACAAACCTGTTGACGGCTACCGCCGCCGCGCTCTCTTAAAGCTGCGCCAGACATCAGGCTTAACCGCTTGGCAAATTGGACATGCTTGTTGGCTGTAGCTCCAATTTATGTGCACTCTCTATTGCAGTTAGTCCATCTTCATTATTGAAATGGCCTCTCGTCAGGACTTGACAGAGTGCTGGAGATGGTAAAGGGGAGGGGAGCATACAGGAGAATCATGAATAATGTGGAAAATAAACACATTTGAGCATTGGATGTGGCAGGGCGTTGTTGTGAAATGCCCGGCTTTCGTTTTCTCTCTCACTCTTCATGGGATTGTATGCGCAGCCTCTGCCAGTGGATGCTGATGCTGTGGATCCTCAGCCTTGGGGCTTTGTCTAACACACACACGCACACACACACATGCAGCTCTAGGCGCTGAGCTCTGCAGCCCGACCGACATCCCGGCTGTGTGTTGTGTCACCGTCACTCTGGAGACACACTGCTCGGTGTCCACAGCCTGTTTCTAATAGAGTGCTGCTGAGACTTCACTTTTTCTGTGTCTCAGGATTTGTTGCATTGATAAGTCCAAGCTTAGCTCATCTGGGTCAGAAGGTTCAGGAGGGGATATCCAATTCCAATTCATGCTTTGTTGAAGGGGATATATCAGTTGTTAGATGTAGAATTTCAATTTCTCAGTGTGTTGTTACAAAATGACCACTTAAGCCTGTGCTGCAGGGGTTATAGGCAGTGCTGGGATGGTTGCTTTTGAAATGTAATAAGTGACAGATTACTATTTACACTGTTAAATATATAACGAGTAAAATAGCTATTTTACTAAATTCAATATAATAATATAAAATATCTTATTAGATTTTATTTCTATTTGATTATTTATCCAAGAAATGTTTTAAACTGCAATAAAGTTTTTAAAACATTAACTAAATGTTCTTAATGTCACATTTCTGTTAAAAGTGCTTCAATACCACTTGAAAAAAAAAAAGTATGAATGTTATTTTCTACACATAAGCTTTTTACTGAAGATAATATAACTGGATGTAACCCTTTAAAATCCCTAACATGTTAATTAGTAACTGTCATTTAGTTTGCTATTTTCCTGTTAAATTGCCTCAGGCCGTTACATATAGCTTCTCCTGAACACGGATAATGGCGCCCCTCTATGAGGAGGGGAACAGGTTCTGGCTGGGTCTGCCAACAGGGTCCTTGTACCTGCTACACACATGAGCAGATGTGATGGCTCACGAGGTAATTACCCACTGAGCCGGTGTGTTTGCGACTGTCAGCTGAAGCAGGGGTTCCCTTCAGGTAGCTCTCCCTGCTTAGGTCAGTGAACAGCTAATGACATTTAGGATGAAAGAGATGGCAGTTGTTTGTAGTCAGCTGCACACTATACCTTTGTCTTATTGTCTGCCGTCTGTCTTAATCTCCCAGCCGCCGTTTTCACACCACAAGGAGATCGTGTTATTAGATCCCCTCCCCTGGCTCATTTGTCATCCTGCAGCAGCACTCCTCTAGAGTAGGACTGCAGGAGCTGAGAAAAGAAAACAATATAAACAGGCAGGAGGCCACAACATCAAATGTTCATCATTTACTGGCCCAGAGTCTCTTGTATCATCATTATTCTTTCAGGAATCACGCAAGGTTAATATGCCATTTCTTCTCTGTGGCACCCCACCCATTTTTAGGAGGCTGACAAACTTCTTCCACCTCTCTTCTCTTCTCTACCTGAACGTATTGTTTTGTATTGTACTCAGTGCACTGCATCCTGCAACTACGCACATACTCAATCATCCCCGCCCCCTCACCGTCACTTGCTACAGTAGAAAGTATTGTCAGTGTTCACAGTTTGCTGTCTCCGCCCCAGTCACATCTCTTTAATCTGTCCTTTCTTGGTTTTCTCGATGCAGAGGCACACAGAAAGGAGAGATTCAGCTAATTAAAATAAACAAATAGGCTCAGAGCTGCCTGTGTAAGGTTCGCATAGGTTAACGACTCAGCTATAAATGTTAAATGAAGCCTAAAATAGGATTGCATGGCATACAGTTGCCATAGAGATCTGCGCTGTGACTCTTGGTGTACTTTCTTGGTTGGTAAAGTTTAGATTAATCTTAGACATGATTCTGTGACAGAGAAAAGAAAGGAGTGATTGTTTGGTGCCCCCCAAGGGCCCCTTTGATGTCTTTGAAGCTTCTTTTCAATAACTGTAACTTTGTGTGGGTCTGACTTTGTTGTTTATGAAATCTAATGTAGTGCTATTGATGTTATTCTGCATTAGACACATGGCAGTGACCCTTTTAATGATTGCTTTCCCTTCTCACATCTCTTCTTTATTTCTCTCCGTCTTCTTTGTTTCTCTCCGGCTCTCTCTTTCAACAGGTGGGACAGTCAAAATGATGCGTAGGAGGTGAAGCGTTGAGCCGTATTGATGGATGTGTTAACAGACAGCAGTCTCACATTGATTGTGAAGACTTCAGAACCAGAAAATGCAAATGTAGCGGAGAGCACAGGTACAAACTATTCACTTTCTTCTTTGATCTATAGCTTTTAACATGATATCAAAAATGTTTCTGATTTAGAAATGTGCATGAAATTATTCATTTTTGCTTTTTGATTCTTTGAATTGTTGCTTTGTTCTGATCACATTTTTTCAGGAATGATCAAACATGAATTAGGATTAAATGACAGCAACATCTTAAAACTTTAAAAAGACAATTGGTTTTACCGTGTACCATTGAATTAGCTTCCTTGAATTAGCTTTTTTCGCGCCCAGATTTAAGCTCTTTGACAAGATGGAGGGGAGGTAAAACACTTCCCGTCTTTTTTCAAATGAATAGAGGAAAAGAAACATTGAATGGAGCTTTTTAAGCTATTGTTAATCCTCTCCCTCAATGCTTCCACAACCCAGAAATATGACATCTACCTTTTCCCATAGAAAGCTGCTAATGTGAAAGAGGGTGCAACCATAATTATTTCACACTCATTCACAGCCATTAGTATGGACAAAGAAAGGTGTGTGTGTGTGTGTGTGTGTGTGTGTGTGTGTGTGTGTGTGTGTGTGTGTGTGTGTGTGTGTGTGTGTGTGTGTGTGTGTGTGTGTGTGTGTGTGTGTGTGTGTGTGTGTGTGTGTGTGTGTATGTGTGTGTGCGTGTGCGTGCGATGTGTCTGTGTGTTGAATACACAGTTTATTTGTATATTTATTTAGGTTTTCTTGTAGGTGTAACATGCTGCTCTCTTTTAGTGAATTCTTCATCACATAAACAATGCATCATAATGCTATTTTAATTATGCTAACTCTTGAGCCCCACTGATCATTTGAGCATTTTCTCTTTCAGCCACTACCTACTGCCCCCTAAAGTTTACCTCTACCGAGCACCACTGCTCCTCAGATGAGGTTTATCTTAGTGTCTCAGCTCTGGTCATGCTCAGTGGGACTGACCAGTTCCCACTGTGAGAATCACACAGATTATCCCCAGCACTAGCCTGTCCCTCCAGCGGCACAGAGAGGGAAAGAGGAGAGGGAGAGAGAGTAGGGAACGAGCGGCAGAAGAAAGAGTGAAAGCAGCTCCATTGAGCAGGAATAGGGCAGCTCTCTGAGGAGGATGGCCATGAATCATGCGGCAGTTACTCACCACTTATTATGAACATCCTGTACTGGCTGGATTGATTTTCCCCAACCATTCACAAAATGTCATATAGTGAAGATGGAGCAATAGGTAGAAAGCGGCTTCTGTGGCTGGCCTACCAGCTGGATGATTTAACGCCCCGGGTGGCTGAGCTGCAGAACGGCTAGCTCTGCAAATTACGAATGTAAAAGCCTCCATATAGCTGGGATAAGGAGCGGAGAAGTTGGAAGGGAAGGAGATAGCGGGCAAAAAGGAGGAAGAATAAGGGGACAGAAAAGAGGGGATGGGAGGGAGGAGTGATTTCAAAAAGCCATTAAAGAAAGAAAAGGCCATGTCAGCTGTTTTCATTTGCATTGTACTTCCATTTCTGATATCTGGGCTTTTTTAATTATTTCGGCAACTTAGGATGGAGGTTTAAGTTTGATTCATGCTTAACGACTAAATTACAGGTCAAATGCGTGTACAAGCTTTTATGTTTAAAAAAACAGCTAAAACAAACACATTTTCTGCAAAAGCTCTTTTATTATAAGGTGGTCTTCATGCATTGTTATATTTTCTGTTTATTGTCCTGTTTATAAACTGACTGAAGGTGGATTGTAAGCAAAAACTGAAAAAGCATGGGTGTGTGTGTGCATGTGTGGCATCTGACACACTAATAGACGAGGCCACAGGCGCCAACTTTTTCCTCTCCTCATGTCCATGAACGCGTCCATCGGCATGGGCCCGCCCCCCCCCCGCAGAGCCTCCTGGCACAGAGCGGCCGGGGCTTACCTCAGGTGGATGAAGCCCTGAATGTGACGGCTGGAGAGATAGGCGGGCCTCAGAGAGCCCAGAGTGCTAACTGGTCCGGTTTGGTCCGATCTAGTTTGGCGGTGGTCGGGCTGTCTAGCATGGCTGGGCTTGGCAGGGCTGGGGATCAGAAGATCAGCACCTCCTGCCAGCCGCCAAGCTCCTTCCATATGCTCAGTGGTGAATGTGCATGCTAGCCTGCGTGAGCTGAGCCACATCCAGCCTAGTTTCTATTCAAGGAGCACTTTCGCTAATAACGCAATTACAAAACTACGTGTTAGGAGGATCTCAGAGGGTATAGAGGTTTTGTTTTTTTTGTATCAGATCTGCAGATTTATTCTAGCAGTAGTGAGTATTTTGGATGTTTATCTTGTTTACGTTTGCCAGCAGCAACATTATGCTGTACTGTATCAGTGAATATGAGGCTGCCAATCCCCCTTTGACCTCTAATGTCAAACTTGATTTGTCATCTATAGTCTATATATATATTTATTTATATAGATATATATATAGATATATGTGTGTGTGTGTGTGTGTGTGTGTGTGTGTGTGTGTGTGTGTGTGTGTGTGTGTGTGTGTGTGTGTGTGTGTGTGTGTGTGTGTGTGTGTGTGTGTGTGTGTACCTGTCTGACTGACTGATCTGTGGCACATTCTGAACAGCTGAAGAGCTAATGGTCCAGCTGGAGACAGATGGCCTCTCGATAACACTATACCCCCAAGCCAATACTCACACTCTATCACTCTTCCTCTAATACACACACACACACAAGCACGCACATATACACAGACTCTTCCCCTCTCTCTCTTTCACGTACACACCAGAAAATCACATGCACGCACACATTGGATAGGATAGATTGTTAATCCAGTATAAACCCTGAGGAAACACATTTTTCAATATGAGTTTAATGTTTCACAGCAATTTTGAACAATCTTTTGGCAATATTAGGTGGCAGCTTAGCTTTCATGCGAGCACGGGGGGAAGGGGGTGTGAGGGAAGTTACAACCCCCCCTTTATAATTTCCCTATTTTTATGGCTTTGCTGCTTTGTAAGGCTAATGAAAGAGATGAGACAAATCATTTTATATCCATGTGTTTTTGGAAATAAAGTAGATTTCAAAGACTGCCGCTGTTGACTTATAATTCCCAAATATTACAAATGAATTGTGTCCGTGTCTGGCTGAACATGCAACAGCGAAAATAAAGTAGTTGTCAAAAGTAAAAATTTGATTTGGTCCATCACACAGAACATGTGTCAGTAACATGTTTTTGCTCTGAGGTCATTTCTGCTCACAGATTGAAGGGAACTGATGGCAGGCAAACGCCTCGCTGTGATGCTTCTGCAGCCTCTCACAAGTTGCTACTGTAACAGTTCTGACTCTGCGAGGAGGAGAGAAGATGCATATTTCTCCCGAGGTTTTCTTCATTAAGGATGACTGGAGCGCAGTTGCATGCATTTAGTAGGCGTTGTGGTAGCTCCAATGTGTCTTCAGGCCACAGACCCAGAGAGACCTGCTCTCAGAAATATCATTACCTCGTTAAATCACTCTCAAATCATATCCATATTCAAAGTTTTACCCACCGCCAATACAGCCATGTTGAATACTGTTTGTTTAGCAGCCTTCCCCTAAAGCATTTATCACTAGCTCAATAATGATTAGGCACCATCCATTCTAAAATGGGGGACGTTGCCAGTTAACCTCAGTGCTCACTTTAATTGCTGTGGTATGTTTTTCAATTTAACTTTTTTCTGCCGTGATTTGAAGGAAAATGTGTGAGGCAGCAGCATGGGATTGTGGAGGGAGGCAGGTGTAGATGATATTGCTTGTACAGTCTCCAACATATGGGCCTGTCGTGTCCCATGTGTACGTACCTGCCTCCGCTGCTGTCATCTAATTATGCAGAGCAAACAAAGCTATCTGCCTGCTGCTACAAGCCCGCTTCTGTGGGTTTTGATTGTTTCCCATCAGATGGATGTCTTCAACTGATTAAGACATTGTCACAACGACCTGTATAAAATCACCAAAACCTACTTTCAATTAAGCCATTACTGCTATTGTGTCTGCCAATCTGTGTAATGTTGTGGTTTTGTGTTACCTTAGAGATAAGTGTGCCTGTAGAGATGAAATGCTAATAGGAGGGGGAGGTAATTCAAGATGACTGCATTCATTTGATCTCATATATTGCTCTTGGGTTGGTAAAGAAAGACAAATATTATTTCCATAAAGTAGGTTATCTCTGAGCTAATATTACTTTCAGTAACACAATTTTAGAGTGACTTTTACTACCCTCCGGCTTTGAATCATAGTTAATTTAACTAATACTTAACCATTTAGTCACTTTCATCTCATGACATAGATGTTGCTTGATTGTAGAAGTAATTCCATTGATCACTAACACTTTCAAGACATTTAGAGACAGCTTTTGTTTCTGAGTGTTTTACACTGTTTCTTGTTAGTGTATGATAAAACTGCAGCCTTTGTTCTTTTACTACAACCACATTTCTAGTAGCTCTTTAAAACTTTCACTCCGCCACCATGGTAACATGATGAGGTGACTCCTTTTCAAAATCACCTTCCTCTTGTTTTATGTGTTCAGAGAATTCGGTAGGATTTACCAGCTGTGTTTCTTCTCTCCTTTTACATTTGAACATCAATCAAAAAGAAGCTTTCTTACCTTGAAATTGGTATTTCGTCTTATTGAATCCAGTACCAAAACTGAAATAATATAGTTCAAGCTGGCATTACAAAATGACATGTTGAGCTCTACGGGGTTAATTGACACTAATTGAATTTCAGCAGCCAAGAAAAATATGTCAGTGTAACTACAGAGTAAAAACAATAAAATGTAACTTCAGACTTTAAAGATTTTAAAGATCTAAAATATTTCCGCTTTTTCCCCCTGCAGGAGTATGTGAGCAGAGTGGCGATCTGAGTCTGTGCGGCATGGTTGATGCTGCCCTCCCTCCATCCTCCCCCCCTCCTGCCGCCGAGACGTCACAGCAGGCCGGCCCCACACACCAAAGGACCACGCCTGCATCGCCAACCCTCTCCCTGCCCCTCGACTCTGACCCCTCTTTGGTCCTGACAGTGGCCCCCTGCCCTCCCTCCGATGATGCTCCAACTGTAGTCCCCGTCCTTCAGCACACTCCCGCTCCCACACCACTTCCTTCCCCAGCTGTAAGCTCCTGGGGCCCAACAGAAGACGGCCAGAAGGCTTCCCTTCTGCTGCCTGTCGCCCTCCCTCTGTCAACTACAATGATGGAGCCTGGCACTGTGTCTGCACTGACAGAGGAGTGTCTTCTTCAGCCCACCCGCACCTGCCTCGGCTGCTTCATCGAGACCCGTGATGCTACTGACCCTAATTCCATACAAAACCCGCCCCATGACCCCAGCACCAACCCCGACACAGAGACTGGGCTCAGTGTGAGGATAGGCGATGTGAGCCGAGAGGACTTCTCTGACATCAACAACATCAGCATCCAGTGCCTGAGCCATGCGGGGGAGGCAGTGAGTCACTATGGAGAACAGCTCCTCTCTGACCAGCTACTTAGCTTTCCTCTGCCGAAAGCCCCAGGTGAGGGCAAGAGAGCTGACGGAAACAAAACAACGGAAGACTGTGATGACCCGGAGGATGACGCAACAGCTAAGAACTTGTATGAGGGACTGTTACTGGACAAAGTGAGCGGAGAGGAGGTTCTGCTGGCTAACGCCGGCCAGGACTGGGGCTACTTTGAATCCTTCATCAGTGAGAGTAAGATGGAACTGCTGGACCTTTGTTCAAAGAATGAACTGTCAGTCAACCTCTTCTCGGAGGAAGACGTAGACAATCTATTTGACGATGAAGACGATGATTCAACGTTAAGCAGTGATGTCTGTTCGCTGAAGATTCGCTACGAGTCTTTCCAGGACAACATGAGGGAGAAAACAAACGTGCTCCAGGAGGAGACACAGTTCAACTTCTTCCCCAGTGTCCTGGCCAACTGTGCCAAGAAAGAGGAAGGAGCGGGAGGCTTGAGGAGGAGCGCTGAGGAGCTTCAGCCCAAATCTGATGAGCTCATCCTGGAGACAGGGCAGGAGGGGAAAGCTGCAGACTGCAGTGGCAGGAGCCCCCTCGGCGGTTCCCAAGGCTCACCCATGTGCACTCCCAAAGTGAACTACCTAATGGACTTTAATTCCACGGAGGAGTCAGGCGAGTTCAGCGATGATAGCTCCTGCACCGGCTCCTCCTCAGACACCCTGCAGGAGGGCAGGTTCAAGAAGGGACACTCAAAGAGATTGCTAAGCCCCTCTAACCCTCTCAACTACGGTTTGCGCTCCAAGAGAAAGGTTCGATACAGTGACGATTACTTATATGACGTAGACTCGCTTGAGAGTGAAAAGAATGCAGAGAAAAAAGAGAAAGCTCCAGTTGGTCAAAAGGAGGAGGAGGACGTGGACTGGTGCCCCAAAAAGCGTCGGAAATCCTGTCGTAAAGAGCCGCCAGTGGTCATCAAGTACATCATCATCAACAGGTTTAAAGGAGAGAGACTCATGTCGGTGAAACTGGGCAAGTTGGACCCTGTGGATACTGTGAGCTTAAACACAGAGACAGTGAGCAAATATGAGACACTGGCTCCTCTGAAGGATTTCTGGCAGGAGAGGCAAAGAGAGAGACAGGAACAGCTTAAGCTGGCTGCCAGAGATAAACAACAACGCGGTTTTCATCTAAACGGACGCCGTCATCGCCCTTTTAATTCTAGTCATCCCAAAAGGAAATACAAGATTGCAAACAGGCTTAAGGTTCAGAGGATTCACGCTGTGGAGCAATCAGCAACAGTACAGTGCTTTCCTCTCTCTGATCGGGGCCAGGGAGGTGTCACTAAAGAAGAGGCCACCCCCACGGCAGGGGGAATAATAGCAGCCCCAGGTCTCCCAGTCACATTAGACACAAACTCCATCACACACACAGTCACAGCCAAGAGCCGCTCCCAGGAGAGGGAGGAGAGGGAGGGGAGGAGATTGGGAGGAAATAAAACAGTAAGGATAAGGAAATTCAAAAGCGAAGCCAGGCTGAGGAGCAAGAAAATGAAAGAGGCAGAAGGAGAGGAGGGGAGGAGCGTGACAAATGAAACGGATGTCTGTGTTGCTGCAGCACAGATTGAGGACCCCGCTGCTGGGTTGGAAGAGGCAGGCATCAGTTCAACTACAGTCAAACCCCATTTCTCTGACAATACCACCACCGCTCACACATCGGAAGATAAATTCTCCTTTGTTTCATCCACTTGCTCTCCTGACAAAGCTCCCCCCTCAGAGGCAGTGGAAACGGGGGTCCCTGTTATCCCGGGGGGCTACCTGCAGACCCTGTTAGATGCCACAGACTCCTCCAGTGGGGCAGCTATCTCCTATTTCCCCCAGCAGCCCTCCAGGCAGCAGTATCCTCTGGGGCTATCCCTTGAGGAGAAACAGTTTTCTTCTCTGCAGCTCGCTCAGAGCTGCGTCCTCTCCCCCCCCTCGGAGTCAGAGCTCCAGCAATCCCCCCAGAACTGCCCCAGCTTCCCCCAGATGTGGCACACGCAGCTCTGTGCAAGTCACAGCCAGAGCTTTGGGCCAGAGACCCCTGAGACTCCCATCTTACCCAACACCTTCCCAGCTGCTGTGCCCCTGAACGACAGCCTGCCAGTGTCTAACTACAGCCAGCTGAGCCCCGAGGCTGACAGGCTACTTTATGAGAAGAACTACCTGACGGAGGCAGGGCTGCAGCCTGGGGCCGATCTGCAAGTGTGTCAGTCTGCCTGTGTGGAGGGCCAGGTGCAATACCAGAGAGGGTCCCTGTGCACAGACAACGGCAGGCTCATCAGTTATGACTCAGTGGGCTCTCTGTCAGCCTCCTCCAGCAATTACAGCTCCCTCAGCCTCAAGTCCTGCGAGCGAGAGGGTGAGGAGGAGGGCCGCGACAGTTTCTTAGCTCATTGCAGCCCTAAAGTGGTGATTCAGCAGAGCGTGGACGCCCTCACCCCTCTCAGGGAGTCCTCAGACCTGCTGGACATCTCCAACTTCACCCCAGACAAGTTTAGACACTCATCACTGTCGGAGCTCTCCCCTCCCGAGACCCCCAACCTGTCCCCCCAGGTGATGGGGCGTGAGATGAAGATGGCGGGGAACGTTGGAGACTACCAGGATGTTAATGATATGAGCATGGACTGCAACAGAGAGGTAAAGTGGAACTGTGATGTCATGCAGCAACAAGAGCACACAGCAAACGCATACACTGTGGAAGACAGACAGTTTCCGCTGCACAACTTCAACAGTCAGGATGTGCTACACTTAGACAAAAAGGAAGAATTTGATGAAAAGACTGGTGAGATGTTGGCTGGTGCAAAAAGCATTAAGTCAAAGAGGAAAGGCAATTGCAAACAGACAGCTGCAGGACAGAGCCCAAAGAAAGTCCGGGCTCCCAGAGCTCCTAAGTCAGAAAAGGTCAAGACCCCCAAACAGAACTCACGTTCTACTAAAAAGATAAAGGCCATGTTAGAGGGCAAGGCAGCGAAGAACCAGGCGGGTAGTTGTGGCCCGGGCCTGACTGACAGTAGCAGCACTGGGGACTGGTCTGGCGCCGGCTGGTCCGAGAGCAACAGCCTGGTTGGGGACGACCAGAGAGAATTCGAGGAGCCCTCAAATATTCTGTCCAACATTGTCTCTGGCATGGCAGAGGTCCAAAGGTTCATGATGGCCTCCATTGAGCCACTGTGGAATCCCATGTCGGAGGCCTGCATGCCCTCTGAGGCCAATAACCTCAACCTAAAGACCCTAAAAATCTTGGCAGGCACAGAGGCCGACCTGAAGAAAAAAGGAGCTGCGCTAACGGGGGCCGGGAAAGGCAGGAAGGCAGGGGGAAAGGGAGGGAAAAACCAGGCCAAATTCAACCCCTCTCATCCCTTATTCCCTCAACTAGCGCTGGGCTGTAACATGTTTGATAAACCCAACTTTATTAACCCTGGGCCCGCACACAAAAAGCTGTACCGCCACAAGACCAGTGCAAAGTTCCCGCGGATTGAGACACTGAAGGGGAAGCGAGCTGAGAGAGACCCAAATAAGGACATAGCACTGATGACCTCTTTTGAGAAACTGAGGTAATATTTTGTTATCAGCTGCTGTTGCACCCCCTTCTCTCTCCCCCCCCACTACCTGCTCAGCCCTCCCTCCCAAGCATACCTACACTGACGCTATGCCAGAGCTGCATGAGTACTACGTTCCCCCCTGACTACTCCCACTTCCTTTTAACCCCCACCCGAAGAGGATATTAATATCTGCATGAAAAACTTCTTGTACTTTGCAAACTACCTATTGAGTGATTGTGTCAAGCTTGATTGAGATTTGAAACGACCATGGCTGCATTTTTCTTGCTTTTGTTGTTTCTGCTTTGTTTGTTCTTCTTATAGTCGTTTTTGTTTTACTTTTGTCTGAAAAAAGAATAAGCCTTGAAAAAAGTTCTGTCGCCTTTTTTGAGGAACTTTGTTTTTGTACTTTCTCAGCAGAACTTGCTCCCCTGAATAATGTATTTATCCCCCTTTCCCCTAAAGATGTAGCTATATACACAAATGCATTGAGTGACATCTACGCACCCCTCCTCCTCATCTGTTTTTGTACGCAGAATATGGATGTCCTGTTGTTGCTGTCCTTCATACACTGCCTGGCTCATTTCAAGAAGGAAACCTACGATTAATGAGCCCAATTTGAGCCCGAGACATCTTGAATAAACAAGATGGGACACTTTTGTATTGATGACATATCAGACGTCTTTTTTCCCCCCTCAAAGTTGGAACGTCTCCCCATTTCCTTTTATCGAGCGGTTCTTTTTCCTCTAGAGTTTAGAGGAATCTAAATGTACATTTTTACGCCTTGCAAATTCATAAAAGCTCCACCCTCAGAGTATTTTTGTCAATGTTGTTGTACAGAGACATGCAATATTTGCAAAAAAAGATGATTATAATCTTAAAATCAATGTGCCAAAAGTAACAATGCTGTGTAAATGACCTCTTATATATGTGTGAATATTGGCTGTTCCTCTTTTCTATCCATTGGAGTATTGGCTGCTCGGGCTGGAGACTCCTTACAGAGACTTGCCACTACAGGAATTCTTTATTTGGGACTTTTCTCTCTTCTCTGATGAAAGGCACCAACAGCTGGCAGTGGTACGCCACCACTCACTAAACCAAATCAGAAAGACTCTGAATTCTCCTCGTTACCCCCACTTTGTTTGCCAAATTCAATTTACCTCAACATCGCCTGGCACTGAGAAGCAACAAAAAAGAGGCAAAGGGGAGATCTGCTCTGAAGGCTACTGTAGAGGAAGACGATGAAAAGAAGAGATGCTCAAACGAGCTTTCTGTGGACCACGGAGAGTGTAGTGCAGATGTTTGAGGGTAAGCAGGGGAACTATTTGTCAGTCGGGGCTGTGCCTCGCTGAATAGCTGTTTTGTACTGAAAATTCAAGGCAGTTTATTACCCATCGAGATTCTGATTCACGCATCAGTCGTGAATGGACATGACATTTTTGCAGTTAGATTTAATGTGAATGTGAAAGCAGTTTTCGGTAAAAATGGAATCAGTAATCTTGTAAATGAAGGAAAGCATGTCTTTGCATTAGCTCCACATGGGAATCTTACTTCTATCTAACCTGAGATGGTCATTTAAACAGTAATTTTTCTTGACATTCTCATGTAATTTGTGTCTTAACACTGCCATACCTTATAAGTTGCACCGCTGGTGTGTTCAGTCTATTTATTTTGGTTCTGTTGTCACATAATGTCTTAATTTTTCTTCTTTTTTTGAAGATCGTTTTTTATATGGTGTCTTTAACTGTCATTTCAGTTGTTGATGGGTCAATATTTTGGCAGAAAATAATATCACTAGAAAATCAAAGCCAGATAAAGGCACAAGTTGAAAAAGAAAATGTATTGATACTATCTGATCCAGTGTGTTCCCGGGGCCATTTTTATGAATTACTATGGGCTCACTCTGCCTCACTGCACTGAAATAAATCCACCTTAAAATGAACCATACAATCATGTTAAATCAGATGTATTATTTGATTTTATATACTACATGTATTTCAGGAGAAATGCAGAGCCACTTCAACTTGCTACAAGAGTATCTTTTATAAATATATACTCAAACAATAGGCCTTTATTTACACTTTCTTTTGAATGTTGAATATCATTTTTAAACATAGCAGTAATTACATGAGACTGCATGGAGATGTGCGGACAAATGAAGCTTGATTCAAAAACAGGCCTTGTCACACTGGATTTGGTAATTCTGAGGTGATAGTAATTGATTGATTGCATATGGCAAGAATCAAAATCAATCTTTCTCTGTCTCTTATTTTTTCTATCCTCTCTGCCATGATCCTTTGTTTCTTTTCTCCAGTGTATCAGGGTTAGGACCAAGCTGCTGATGGGAAGCTCCTCATGGGCTGCACGCCCATTTAGTCTGCCTTCTCTCATTTCTGCCTATTGTCAAATTGAATGTACTTCTCTGAGTTCATTGTTTCTTTGTTGGTTTCTCTTGTTTTTGTTTTTATAATGTGCCACTGTTGAGCTGCCTCATGTTAATGGTGCTAAGAAAGCTGACAATTATTTTATTTTATTCATTTTCGTTTTCATTTTTTTGTTTTCCCAGAGTTAACAAAAAAGAAATGCAAAATAGATTAGGTACCTAACCCTCTTATGAATGTATATTGAAATGTTATGTTTGATGTATTCACTTCATGATTCTTTGACATTGATTGAAATTACTTTTGCTCTTTTCATTAAAAGATTACCGAGCTTTATATATACTGTCTAGAGTTGTTACCAGAAGGAATCTTAATGAACTCTTGACACTACAAAATCTTGTATATTTTTTGTGTGCCAATTTGTAACATATTTTGTAAGTGTATATTTTTCTTAGAAAGTGCTGTGAAGTATTTGTGTGTGTGAGTAACCTTTTATGCGCCTCTATGGGCAGTGGAAAGGATATACAACGACAAGTTTCTGGTTTTAAAAACCAAAATATGAAAGTATCAACAGAAAAACTAGAAATATTTACATTTTGTTGGGAGTTTTGTAATAAGACCATGATCTTGTTGTGAGAGTGTTGTGTTACTGTGCAAAACACAAATAAGCAAAGAAAAAAAATGAAAACCTGGAAAAAATATATAATTTGTGAACAATTTGCTGTTTTATAGATTTTCATGTAAATTATTTGAGTATTATTTTGTTTTTTGTTTTGTTGTAACTGTTGCAAAGGTTTTAAATATTTGTGATCAAGCCTGTATGGTGATAATGTAATATTGGTAACTTGCTGAGTTTTGTAATAATGTTTATGGAGTAAATATACAAATTAAAATAAGATTTTGAATGCTGCTTTCTGAAGAGCGTTAGGTTGTGTTTTTTACCACCCACCCTTTGTTGTAGCTAGTAACAACAGTATACAATGTACATAAAAATGCACATAAAAGCTTCACACTTTTTACTTCTCTGCAAACAGAATATGACATTAAGTGCACAATAGGTCACAATGCATGCAGTTTTGTGAAGCCACTTAATACTAGACAGCTTATTGATACTGTATGTCAGAAGTAAAGTAAGTAACACATGTTCAAAAATATCGACCCCATCTATGGTACTGCTACAATAACAGTAATAGAAAAAATATATAATCTGATATACAACGTTTGCTATTTCCACAAAATGCGTGAGTGTAAATACACCCTCAAAAACTCAAATAAGTCTGTCCTTATTCATTATATTGGGAGACTCTTAGTCGTAAGGCATTTTAATTTCTGCACAAGCCTGGCTTTGGCTCATGTTATTTTAATGTCATATCTAATTAGTGCTCAGGGTCAGGCATTGCTAGAGTGACTGCTCATCCATAACTCTGAGCCGGGCTGCTGTGGTCCACACTGCAACTCATTCTGGCATGCTTAATTGGAGCTGGAGATACTGTCTCACACCATAAACAGATCCTGTGATGTATGCCTCCAAAATTGTCAGGTGGTATTAGCATTGTTTTTGTTCTTTAGTCACCCATAGCCAATAAGGGAGCAGGCAAGTAATAAGATGGAATGTCTAATGCAATGGACCAGGTTCACCTGTGGTTATTAAATAAGACCCAAGTTGTTTTGTCAGTGCGTGCTCACAATGCATGGACAGCTGTAGACTCTCTCATTAGGAACATTGTTTCCTCTTTGTTTTCTTATCATTACCCACAAGACTGCAGGGTAACATTGCAAGACTCAGCATGCCCACTTCTGATGCAGACATTTACTTCAAATCAGAAGAACATACAAACAACACAATTACCCACACATTTTTTTTGTTACGCTTGCTGGCTTTACTGTTAGTAAATTTTCCCCAACAGGGGTCGATGATGGCTGCAATTGTTCTTTTTAGCTTGTTTTTTACACATTGGTTTACAGATGTTCTGTAACTAGATGCCACCTACTGCCAAAGGGTCATCCCAGGGTATCTTCTGTCCTGCTGCTGAATATTAAAACAACCCCACCTCCGCCCACACTAAAGTCTTGGCCCAGCTATAAGCCGGAGCTGTTTCTTCCCTTAAAATATCTATTGTTCTTCCAATTTTAAATTATGATTTCAAAGATGAAGAGAAATGTATTCCTTTTGACTTTGCTTTTTCTATTGGACTTTCTTTGTGTGTTTACTTGGATGCATTAAAAAGTGAGTGCAGTGGCTTTAAGTCCTTAACTGATCAAAAGTTGCCTCGCATTTATAATAGTCAATTAATTGAGAAATCCTGTTTGACTATAGAAAAATGTTTGTAGACAGACCTCCAAATAATGTTCAAATTTAGTTAAATAGTTAAGAAATGTTATGTATCAAGTGTAATTTTCTTTCAAGTAATTTCTCTAAACTGCCACAGATTTAGATAGATAGATAGAATAGAATTGGAGAGATGAACCCCTCTTTAATGGTCACACATGCAGAGCACACATCACACACAGTGAAATGTGTTCTCTGCATTTAACCCATCCTAGTACCAGGAGTCTAGTACTAGGAGCAGTATTGTCTGAAAAAAAACAACAACAACAGACAGAAGCTAGGACTTAATGTTAGTAACATAGATTACTTTATTGAAACCAAAGAGGAAGATATGATAACTCCAGCTGCCACATCAAATAGAGCCATTTCTCTTTTTTTTGCTGGGACAAAATGCTTGAACTCTGACACATTGTAAGCACTGTAAGCTGTAAACTTACAGTATAAGATGGAGAGCAGGGAGAGCCTCATCATCAATGGACCTAGGTGCAGAACTCCCTCGCTGAGAAACGTGGCATTGAATTGGATATAAGTGAGTGGGTGCATTTGACACAACAATATGAGGACTAGAACATTTCCTTGAACAATATAGAATATAAATCGCAGGCTATACGTAACTGTGTGCCTTTGTACAAGTGCACCACTCCACTGAATTATGAAAATAAGGAATTGATTTTGCAAAACAGTCACACAGGATTTCAGTTATTGCACTTTTTTTGTTTATTGAAAATTACTATCGGACATTTTTTCCTATAACAATGACTATTTGTATTGTATGCTATTTCCTTTGTCAACATGGGAATGGGAACCATTTTAAAACACACTGTGACTGGACTACAAATGATTTAATAAATATAAAATATTGTAGTTGCATTAATTTATGTTGTGACACTTTAGGCGCTTTCACACCGGAGTACTTTTCCCCGTACTTTTCCCTTTTAGTTCCGATAGTTCCTGGGATTTTGCGTTCACACCAAAAAGTTCATGAGAACTTTCCCCCCCTTTTCAGTCCCTGCTAGAGAGCAGGTACTTTCCTGGGGAGAAAAAAGTTCCAATTTCTGATTGGCTGGGCGAATTGCAAACCACGCCCCGTAAAACTCTGAAAAGTTTTGAGAAGCCGCCATTGTATTTGCTGGCATTAGCATTAGCCCAGCGCACCAACGGAGAGAGACTAACTTATGGCAACACAAAAGAAAACATGGGATCGGTGGAGTGATGAGGAGGTGTCAGCGTTCTGGCGATTTACTCGGAAGGCTTCAGTAGAAGCTGCGGGGAGTCCCAGCCATAGATATATATCAGGGGTACTCAAACTTTTTTATTAAAGGTCCAGTTGTGAACTTTATACAAGGTCACTGGTCCGGATCAATGCCCGACATGTCGTTGCAGTAAATTAAAGGGTGTTTCGTGTTGTCGTTGCTGTGGACCTTCTTAATCTACCTTCTTTGGGGGCCCCCTTCTGGTCCAAGCACTTGCCTGCCTTGCCTGTCGGTAAACGGCGCCCCTGTATACACACACACATTCAATACATACATACAGTATGTCAAGGTAAACTTGCGGTTAACTTGCGGTCTGCTATGCGTGTCACGCTCACGCACACAAGTAAATATATATGCACGTTCATTCTCACAACGCGTCAGACACAAGACGCGCGTACATGATGATGTACATTAATTTATCAGAATCAGAATATTTTTTTTTTTTTTTTATCATTTTTTTTTTTTTTTTTATAATGGGACACAGGGTTCGGTCCGGATTGATTTGCAGTTCGGTCCGGATCCAGTTTGAGAAGCCCTGATATATATAAACACTAGATGACTCACCCGTGCTGCTGGCCAATGGAGACCGACGTTGCCACATGGCGGCCATCTTGACACAGGCAGCTTGCTCATTCATAACATTATGTCTATGGTGCACTATTGAAATAACCATAGCTTGCTCAATTTTCAACCAGGCGAAGTCCCGCATCTACTTCCGACCCATGGGACCTTATTTCGGAAAAATTATGTATTGAAGTCAATGGGGAGAAAACGTATCTTTCGATCCCGTTTGAATTGTGCCATGAATTACACATATGATGTTTGTCAATCGTAAAAATAATTTCCATGTCAAAAAAGTCACAGTTTGTCGTAAAACTGTTGAAATATAAGACTATGAAAAATACGCAACTAGAAAGACTACAAATCCCAGAGTCGCGTAAGTGATGTCATAACTGATGTCATAATTGTTTTCCTCCACTAAATATAAGAGATAGCTAAGATAAGATAACTTTAACAAGATGCCTGTGTGCTTTGTACCAGGTTGTAATCATACCAGCAAAGGGTCTTGCTCGTTCTTTCGCTTCCCGTCTGATGAAAGGACCAGGGGTGGCTGGATCAAGTTAGCTACCTAGCTAGTAGCAAGCACGTTAGTTAGCATTACAGCCTTAGCCTTGTCATTTTTATTAGCCTTAACATGAAGTAACATTAAGTAACCCAAAATGTTAAACAGTAAGAGTAGTAGTCATATTTTGTGAACCCTTTGAAGAGTACTGTCACACCGGTGTGGTCATTCTATAATACACCGTTTAAGCCTATATATACAGTCTATGGTTTAAGCCCGGATGCCCCCGCGGGAGAAATGCTAACGCTAACGCTACATTAGCATCGGCGATCTTTTCGACTTCATGCTATCTGCACAAATAGTTAACATTGAACATTAAAAAGATCAAGCAGTTCAGGGAGAATCGAAGGAAGGCAGGAAGGCAGGCAGCTTTGCATGACATTCTTCTGGACGTGTTTCATTGTGGTGATAGTGAGGGTAGTCAATTCCTTTTTTGGCAAGACAGTAGTGACGGCCATCTTGGTGACGTGTGTTGTTGTGCGAGACCAAGCGGCAAACTCTGGGGCAGAGCCGGGATGCCAATACGGAAGTGCCACAAACTGCAGTTCATCTATTGGCTGATAGGCGATGACTGCAGAAAGGAGGAATTTCCATAGACCCCCATGTTAAAATGCCCAACTTTACAGCAGAAATAAACATGTTTCTGCCCCTGGATGCAATAAAAATTATTCGGGATATAGTTAGATTCCACCTTAATGATTATTAATTGTTGAGTGAATTGTTTTATAACGCGACCCTTTTATTTATATTAGGTCTTAAAGTGTTTGCATAAATTAGGGCGTGGTCACTTTGATGGACAGGTAGGCCTACGTGCCTCACTGTCAGCTAACAGCAACTTCTCCACTCTGCTAGGCTACAACGTTAGCTAGTTGTAGTTACTGTACTTGACCCTTTAGCCGTGTTCGTGGTGATTGTGCCTTTTAGGGAATGTTGTTACAAATACCAGACAATTAACATGTCGTGCTGTGCGGTTGAATGTACTAACAGAACTTCCAAGAAGTCTACTCTCAGCTTTTTTCGTTGAGTAAAATGATAATATTATACATGTTAGCAGGTGTTTGTGTGCTTGTTAGCTTAGCTTGTTATATAGCTTATTAGCCAGCTAAGGACGTAACCCTTTATACATGTATATATATATATATATACAGTTTAGTTTATGATTCAGCCTTGGGTAAGACTTTTATAGTCTATGGCTATGACGGCC